ATAGTGCTGAGGGAGCCTTGCTACGTGCCCACGAAGGTGAGAGAATGCCAACTGAGAGAACTCTCAGCAGAGGGAAAATCTTCAAGTCTTGGGAAGAGCCTGGTGTGAGATGAGGGGGTTGGTGTGGAGCAAGTAGGCCTTTGGAAAGAGGTGCTGGCAACCCCAAACAAGAGGCAGCAGCTTTGCAATTCAATTTACCTTTTGAAACAGCAGGCTCTGTCTCTGGTAGAATAAGCAGAAAATATAATGCACACTCATTGGAAAAAAAATTGAAAATATATTTTGATAAGCATATGGTTTTATATCCTTTTTTAAGTTTATTGTAACATATTACACATTCTTTGAAAAAATAGAATTTGAAGTTCAGAAAATTAAATCAGATTTAAGGGTTAAGAATCTTGTTCCATATTTTTGTCTTTCAAAGTTTATATGATCAATCAGAACCTATATTTACTTTCCCTAAGTGAAGGGAACACATCATGGCATCTGTATTGTCCTCATTGAAAGACGTTTCCATGTAACTTCCAAGTAATTCTAGCTTCTGTTAGATTACTGATGAAACAATGCCCAATTGGTAAAAAAAAATTCTGTACTCCAAATAGCCTTATAAATGTGGACGTTTATACTTGTCTTTCAAAGCAAGAACCTTAGGACAATTGGTCATGTGCTTAAAAGTTTTTGTAGTGGGACAGACTTAGTTGGGATCTGTCTCGGTGGCCACTTCCTGTGTTGCTGTGGGCTAGTTACTTAACCCCTCAAAGCCTCGACTTCCCCAGCTGCAAAAGGCGGATAACCTTGGGCTACTTTTAGGACTACTGCAGAGATTAAGTGAAACAATGCACACAGGGCACCTGACCTGGCGTCTGGTACCCAGCAGTCAGTCACTAACTGCCACATTGTATAACTGAGCACAGGAACTTGCACTGGGCTGTTATGGCATTCCAAGAACAAAGCCCAATGCCTGGCATATAATAAGGGCTCAAGCCATGCCAAAGGAAAGGAGGAGGGAAGTTTTATGGGTTGCTGTAGCTTGAGGTGGAATAAACAGAGCTGGGGACACAGTTGTTTTTTATCTCCCTATATTCTCCCATCTTCAAAGATCCCAATTTCCTTGAAAGAACTTTGCTTAAATTCCCAGTCTACAGCCCCCAACTCTGTGGCTTAAACGTTTTAATTATATCTGTTAGAGTCAAGAGACAGCAAGGCGGTTGGGATGGGGGTGGGGATACCATCCCTCTCTTTCCCTTAAGGCCCGAGCACCTGTTTTCCTTATTTCTTCGCTTCAGGGGAAACATGGGCCTCCAGCTCTCATTACTTGTACAGCCATGTGAAGACCATGGACTCGTTTCAGCACACTAGATTCTGAGCACCATTGCTTTGTTTCATTTTTTATTTATTTTTATTTTTTTAATAAAAAAAACATCTTTATTGATTTCAGAGAGAGGAAAGGAGAGGGAGAGAGAGAGCCAGAAACATCAATGATGAGAGAGTCATTGGTCAGCTGCAGCCCGCAACCCGGGCATGTGCCCTGCCTGACTGGGGAACCGAACCCTGATCGCCTGGATCCTAGGTCGACGCTTAACCGCTGAGCCACGCCTGGCCGGGCACAACTTTGTTGTAGAGTAATACATTGGGCCTTTTCTTTCCTTCACTGTCAATTATAGAAAAAGCCTCTTGATATTTCTAAAATTCTGCAGGTTAAGGGGAAGATTTCTTGCCAAAAAGTTTTGTTTTTAAAGAAAATTCAATTGCCTTAAGACGAGCAGAAGACCTGCGGCTTTGGGATAGTAGTAGATGGTGTTATTATTCTCTGTCCCCCAGCAGAACTCAGCACAGAGCGCTGCACAGTTGGGTGGGCTCCTGGACGGCTTTGAGGTGGCTGGCTCTCGGCAGGATTTCACTGCACTGTCTGGCATTCGATGCTTAACACTGAGGGAGGAGAAGATCAGGAGAATTCAGAGGTGGGGCAGGGCCAGATCTAGCATGGGAGGGCTGGGGCCTTGGAAGATGAGGCAACGAAAGAGCCTGAGCGGGGACTCAAGAAGGGCGTGAGCTGGGAAGCAATTAGGAGCTGATATGCGGACAAGAGCAAACACTGAGTCTTTCGGAATGCTAACTCTTTTACAAAGCCTCTCCTGAACCCCTGCCAGAACTCCCACTACACTGACATGTCCCTTTTTAAGAAGATTTACAGGAGACTTCTAACGATTCATTTAGCTATGTACACATCTCATTTCCTTTTTAAGGCAGGGACTAAGGGCTCTTTCTCTCCCAACCTAGCTTGGTAATTTGCAACAACACCCTCTTGGTGTTGAAATGATTTGAAAATGTGCTAAGTACCTGAGACCTGTTATCCAGGCAGAGGACTTACTTTTATGGAGTGACAGGGGGTGGGGGGAGTAAGAAGGAGAGAGAATCTTGGCACAGAACTGAGTTTTCCCATTTTCAAAGTGAGCAGCCAGGACCTTGAAAGGAGGGGAGAGGTTTAAAGTGGGGCTAAGTATGGCTTTGTGAAACACTCACTTAGTCCAGCCCTTCAGCTGGCCCTCTCTCCTGGGAGTTTCTGATGCTAATACAGGGACAAGAGCAAACACTGTGACCTTCTGGGCAAGGGGATATTCTGAAGGGATTTGCCTGTCTCTGGAGGGCAGGGCGACTGGGAGAGAAAAGCAGCAAAAGCTCAAACTGAACAAATCAATTCCTTGTTAGCAGTATTAATTTGGTGAGAATGAGGCCTGGAAGGTGGACTGAGATGCCTCTTTTGGGTTAACTAATGGCGTAACCTGGGTTCCCCCAAAACAGAGCGTGAACAAGAACTTGTATACAGGTAGTTTGTTTGGGGACTGAACCCAAGAACAGGAGTGGTGGACTGGGAAGAGTCAAACAATCCAGGAGGGAAAAAGAAAGGAAATCCAAGGCTGCATTACTGAGTTGATCAAGTTGGGCACTACAGTGGCAACTGGGGCTCCATCCTCTTAGGAGCTATCTAGAATGTACCTTGGAATTGACTACTAACTAGAAGAGTGGAAGAGGGGAGTATTTCTCCACCTGCTCCTGTCTGCCTTGGTCAAAGGTTGTCCCATGGGGTGTTAGTCCCTTTACACGTCCAGGTTCTTGCAGGGGTCCCAGGCTACAGTGACATAGAAGCCCTGAGGCAAAAAGATACAAGGTGGGGCTGAGGCAAGGTGCTCTTGGGTTAGGCTTGCATGCAGCTGGTTGCCCCAGCAAAGCTGGAGTAGAAAGACAGGCTGGGAAGATGAGGTCAGCCACAGGAGGAGTCTGATGTAACCACAGGCAGTTTAAATGTTCCTTTCCTGTCTTCCATAAATAGAACTATATTTCCATTTAATTCTCAGTCCAAAGTCAGGACCTATGGTTTTCCTAGGTGGAATATTAATTCTCCTTTAATTAACTGCTTTTCCAGCAATACATAAACCTAGAAAGTGTAACCTGGTGACTCAATGTAGTGACTTGTTGTTATGACTGTGACATGGAGTAACGCTTTTCAACCATTGCACTGAAGCAAGTATTCTGGCTTGAGTCTGTCTGTGAAATGGGTACAGAAAACCAAGTGCATCCTCCCTCCGTGATTGTCCCAATTTTAAAGGTTCTATGGGCCAGGGGCTGGGGATAAAGAAGACACAGCCTGGACCCTGAAGAAGCTCATGGGATGGCCCTGACAGGTTTCTTTAAAACCCCACCAAGTCAGTTACTCCACAACTCCTCCCCCTCCTTTCCCCGTTTTCATCTGCATGGTCCCTTTCTAATCAGCCTTTCTCTGTAATTTGACCTAAACATAACTCTGCCAATAATTTGCCCGGATAATTTCCTTTTTTCCTCAGTCTGTTTCTTATTCTGAAGAACTGGCAGGGGTGGAGTAACCTGATCTGTGCTGACTGTCCTCTGAGGTTGTATTGTTGAAACTTTTGGAAACTGTGCTATTCAACTATAGGGTGTCCCAGAAAATGTATACGCATACTGTGAATAATTATACTGTTTATTAAAATACATTTCATTTTCATTTAACAGCTATCAGCTGTTTTAATGAACTCTGCCTTTATAATTATTCAAAGTGGGTGTATACATTTTTGGGGGGACACCTGTATTTATTTATTTTAATCCTCGCATGATTTAAAATATTTAAATAAACTTCATCTGATTCAAAGACAAATTTAAAAGCCAACCCACCCACCCCGGTGAGCTCTAAAGGCAGCAAACACGCAGGGACTTGGCAGGCGCCTCTCCCTCGCGAGCGTCTGCGCACTCCTGAAGCAGCACCTTCTCTCCCCGCGGGCT